TTTTCATATCGAAATATTGTTGTTGATTCATCTGTTCTGATGTGTAACCTGTATTGATAAAAGGTTCTTTGATGAAGTCTGACCTTTTGCCTTCTCCCATCTGGGTTTCTGAGTTGTAACCCCCAGTGCCATCCAAGTTCTCCATTAGGAAACATTAAGACATAATGAAGTGGTAGGTATGCAGCATGGTTTTGAGTTATTCACCGAAATTTATTGACATCTTGCATATTTGCTCTATCAGGGAGCAGTCTTCATTCTGCAAGAATAATATCTCGAAACCCTTTTTCTCCATACTCCTCTGGAATTATCATAGCTACCTCATTGGCTTGGGGCATATTTGCTCTCCTTGGATCAGACTCTCCATTTATTATCAACTCCAATCTTGGATTCAATGCAATCAAATACTCCTCTCCATACCCATCTTGTCTCATGTCTTGAAGTCACTCAGCAGCAGTTTTGTAAACACCAATCTATGGTGAGCAAGTTTGAAGCATTAACGTCAGTTGCTCCAGGATATTGCGATCTAATTGTAGAAATCGATTGGCTCTTATTTGTGCAGCGAAAGCTGGATCATAGAGATAAATTTGAGAGTAATTTGCCTCAAGCTCACCAGGTGGCTACAATGGACTCTGTAAATGATACAGTTCCCCATGGATCTGAAAGTTATGTACTCCTTGTCCTTGAATCTCCCATCTTTAATCCATATTATAATTAACAGATGTAAAGGCAAGGCAGAATTCTGTGATCGAAGATTTGTTTGGAACTATCTTGCATCTGTAGTAATACCATTCATAAGAGAATGTAACGGTTCTGGTAAGACTTGTAATCTGGGAAGTACAACATCTCCATGTTTGCAGCAGCTCTCAAACTGTGGATTTCAAATACCACGTTGTATAATTCTTTCAGATATCCAGTGCCTTGCTTGACAGTGGGGACAGACTATATCCATCCTGCCATAATCAAGTTCTCACCATAACAAATGATTATTAATATAGGCAAGAGGATATCTTCAATTCTCAACTGGTTGAGGCAATTGCTCAAGTCCAGCAGGTTGTGCATATTCATGTATATTATCCTGAACAACCACAGCTGGTAAACGTTGCTCTCTTGTCTGTCTTCTTCTGTTTCTTTCTCGCATCTAATATTAATTTAATAATGTTAGTATCACAAATGTAAAAGAAAAGAAAAACGATCTCACAAAAGAAAAGAACATAT